TACTCTAGTCTGGACAACAGGGCGAGACTCCATCTCAAAAAAAAAAAAAAAAAAAAAAAAAAAAAAAAAAAAAAAAAAAAAAAAAAAACAGCTGCTGTTAAGCATCTTGCCGTTTCAGCAAAAATGGAGTTTAACCTGCTTTCTCTAACTCTCTTTGAGTCATATTTTTGTTTTGGTTTTTGAGATTCAATTGGTAGATACAGAGCAGTTCTATAAAATTCTCTTTAGATGGATACCTGCTTTTCAGTTTATTTATTTGCTTCTGTGATCAATTTTTTGTGAAAGTAACTTTTGGACAATATATATTTAAGAGGCCTACTTGAACAAAACAGTTTTGTTTTCAGATATCAAATGGGAATCCAAAGATTATAATATCTTCAAGAAATAATTTGAATTTATTAAACACCAAAAACTAATTTCAATAATCAAAAAGTGAATAGTTTGAATGTCATTTCACCCTTTATTTTCACAAAGTATTGGCTCATCTTAATTGCTGTCTTTCTTGTTTGTTTTCTCAACAGCTGCACCACAGTACCTACAGCCATTTGTTTCTGATAGAAATATGCCATCTGAACTAGAATACATGATTGTTTCCTTCAGAGAACCACATATGTATCTTCGACAGTGGAATAATGGTTCTATCTGTCAGGAGATCCAGTTCTCAGCTCAAGCAGACTGTAAACTTCTAGAGTGCAGAAATGTCACTATGCAAAGTGTGGTGAAACCCTTCAGCATCTTCGGGCAGATGGCAGTTTCCAGCGATGTAGTAGAAAAGCTGTTTGACTGCACCGTGATAGTTGATTCTGTATTTGTAAACGTTGGACAGCATGTAGTCCATTCTCTAAACACTGCAATACAAGCTTGGCAACAGGTATGCACATTCCATAACAGTTTACAGTTTAGTCACATATGATATTTTATTAGGTTCTGTATGCTATCACTTCTGATAATAAGTTAAACACAAACAAAAATGTGAGAGAATGAAGAATTTGATGGGCACCATTGTACTTGAGGCCTTCTCTGTTTTGGCAAAGTGATACATGTTATTTTTGAAACACTGGAGAATATGGGTTCTCTACACATGCATTGGAGATCATGCCCACATTTTTGTGACTAATGTACCACATCTGTGTGGAAAGTAACATATTCCCAGAAATTTTTTCCAAGTATTGTGGCTTTAGTTTGCCAAAGCTTCAACTTAGCTATGTATCAAATTGTCTAAGTGTCCATTGCAGAAATAAAGAACCTATGTGACCCTTTCTGATGATAAGCATTCCATCTTTTCAAACCAACAAACAAACAAAAAGCAGTGAGATGAAATATGTGAGTACAATACAGTCTTAGTTTTTTCCTCTACTCTCATTCTGACTTTTTGATTCACTAAAAAGTACTGGATAATGGATTTTTTAAATCAGTTAGAGAGCCTTGATTATTTTAATAATTGTTTAACTTTTATTTCTTATCAGAAATAAACCAAACCAAAAAAAGGGATGAAGTATAAGTCTATGATAAGTGGCATATTTAAAATGGGAAACCTGTCCATGTCTGCTAGCACCAAAGTAACTTCACAGAATATTTGGATGATAATAAGTTCAGCGATTTAAGAACAAATCACTTCTGTTTCCCTTACTGATTTTAGTGTTATATCGTATTTCCATCAAGTTTGTGTTGCTATTTAAGCTGAGACTTTTCCCCACATTTTGTATATGTTACACACATTTGTGTGAAGCTGGCTCCCCAAGAGAAACGGTTCTTCATCCCCCACTGACCTCCTTTTGGGATGGAGCAGTTAAAGGGAAGAGAAGCTTTTGTTCTTTAACTTAAGAATTTGTATGGGAATAAATGGTTTTCTTTATATGCATGAAGACCTATACAAGACCAGGGAATTAATTACCTAACATGGCACTACAATAGCAAAGGGAAAGAAGATAACACATCTGTTTTATATTTTAAAAATCTTTTTTAAGGGCATTCCATGGTTTTCTTGTTGCAAAGGACATGCGTAAAATAAGAGCTAGTGTGATCTAAATCTTTGCAGCTGGTTCAAATAGCCATGTGAAAAAAACCTCTATGGATCCAATTTCTGTTTTTTGGTCATATTTTTAACAATGCATTTAATAAAAAACAAACCTAGAAAATATAAAAGAATCATTGATAGAACATTTAAACCCAGGATATTTTTGTCTTGGTATCAGAGCCATTATAAGGGGACTCATGTGTAGCAACTACTGCAAATGGCCTTCAGAAATACCAGTTTCCTCCCAGGGTAAAAATACTCTCTTAGACACAGCTATACATATAAATAAAATATGGTGCATAAATATTTAAATGTTTTAAACCACATCAGAGTGTGAATGACTGACTGGCTAACATAGTGCCTTGAAGGAATATTCTGAGTTTTTTTAAATGGAATTGTATATTTGATTAAGTAGAGCCATATGTCACGTAGCATATTGCTGACAGGTACATTCTATGAATAGTTGGTTCTGATTTATACAGGGATTTGGCAACGTTAACATGAGCCACAAGAGGATATACTTCTGTAATTGTTGCTGTAATTTTCTTGTTTCCTCTCATGTCAAGGGTACTTGCCACCAAGTTTTAATGTGGTAGGCACCTAACCCTGTGTATTCTAAAGTAAATATGAACGTGCACTGCTTTGAAATTATAGGACATTTGACATTGAAATGGGCTTACAAAGGGTTATTAAGTTCATTGTTTCTAAGATGTTCTGAATGTGGTTTATCCCCTTTCAAAAGGGAAGTTTAGTTTCCCAAACTTGAATTTTATTGCATGTATACTGCTCACATACAGTATAATTGCTGCCAGTGAAAAATATGAATTTAATAAGCAAGCAAAGTGATTTTAGTTCTCCACATACTTTTTATTGGATTCATATTGGAGACAAGTCATTTTTCCCCAGTGTGGATGGACCAGACAGTTGAAGCATGAAACAATTTGGCCTTCCACTTTTAGGTCATGAGTTCAAGATTAACAGAAGCCTTCATCAGTGTCTGATTTCTCTGGCTATAGATTTTCTTTTCTCTTTTATAAATGATGACTGTTTTGTGAAAACAGATTAAGGATCCAAAATGCCACTTGCAATCTGTTTTATATTTCTATGTCACTTTCCCAGATTTGGACAAAATAGTATTAAAAGGGTTTTTTTCTTAAGGTTACACTTATATGTCTTCTCTTACACCAAAATGGTATCTCTGTTTAATTGCAAATGCTTGTTTGACACTCCATGAAACTTAAATGTGGATAAGCCATCTTTTAATTACAATTCCAAGTGAGCATTCTGAGGCTCAACATCTATGATGTGACGTCAAATACATATGAACTTTTTAATATTATAACAGAATTTAAAACATTCCAAGAAATGCTTAAACTTATTACAGTTATAATGAACTCTACAGATGAAGGAGCAGTAGAGAAATAGTTCCCTGAGGACTTTGAGTATTCTTTAGAAAAATGTAAACAACCCCCTTGTGTTCTTTAATTTACATTTTTTCCTAAAACCCTCATCATTTATTAAAGGTCAGTTTTTAGAGATGAAGAAAGTAATATGATTTTTTTTCGACTCAAGCCCTATCTGGTAACTTAACCTCTGTGTTACCAGCAGATTGATCCCAATTCATTATGAAAACTGAATTTTAATCTCAGGATGTGTAACTAAGTGGGAGACTGGAATCATATTCCTTTCTTCATGTCTGTACTCGCACTGAAAGGAAAGAAAAATGTTTACAAGTAGAGCAGTTCATGTTGATTATATAATGCTCAATGGAAAAATCTCATCAAAACTAATTACATACTATGATTCCAGTTTGATTAAAGGTTTGTAGATAAATATATAAAAAAGGATTGGATAGGACAGACTAGAATAGTAACAGGCAGGACATTCAGAAGGGAAAAATTACTTGAAGAAAATTCACCAAAATGTTAATAGTAGTTATTGCTGAGTTTAAAATTAAAGATTTTTAAAAATCCATACTTTCTGTATTTCCTAATTTTCCCTCCCCTTATTCTCCCCTCCCCTTCTTCTCCCCTTTATTTTCTAACTTTGTACAGTGAATATATAATTATAGTTTTACAAATTACATCTACTAAAGTTTTTGTTTATTTCCTAAGTATTTATCGGCCAGGCATTATGCTGGATACCAGAGATAAAACTGTAAAGAATACAGACGTGGTTGCTGCCCTTCTGCAGCATAAAGTCTAATTATGGAGACAATATTGAACCCATAATGGTACAAATTAACAAGTGCTCTGAAGGTGAAATATAGAATCTTATATAAGCATAAAATAGGAGAACCTAACTTGACCCGGGAGGATCGCAGAAGGCTGCTCTTAAAACCAGCCTTAAAACAGGAATCTGAAAGTTGAATAGAAACAAGTTGGTCAAACAAGAAATGGAGAAAAAGATGTCTAAGCAGAGGGAGGCTCTGAGGCAGGAAGTAGTTTGATGTGTTGGATGAGTTGGAAGGAGGTCAGCATAGTGCTGGAGCAGCTGGAAAAGGCTGGTGGAGCTGGAGTGTCCTGGACAAATGCCCTCAGCAAATGGAGAGTAGCTCAAGATGCAGTTGGAGGCATGGGCAGGGGCTGGGTAAAACAATTCATCTAAAACTCAACAGCAGGCAAGTTTTGAAATCGTTGCTACCATTAAAAGCCAGAGTAGAGAGTATTATGGTAGATGACCGATGCTTGTTGTTATGAGTACTTTGGTCTCACTTAGCCAGAAACTCTTTTGGTGGTTAGTGTGACTGTGAAGCAAGGTTCAGTTCAATGGGAACAGATGGATGATGCGAGAGGGCTTAGAAGTCCTCAAGGACCTCTGGAAAAATGAGGTATGTCAGGGCCACTTCACCACCTGCAGCATGGAGCCTGCCCACCTACTTCAAGGGCATTTTGGATGACTAGGAGTAGACTCCGTTTCCCAAGATGAGTCTGTACCCTGATGGGTATAAGTCTGGTCATGGCCCAGGCTGGATTCCAGGTACATTCATCTGTAGTCTCCTTGGCCTCATGCCTCCTCTGTACTTGAATCACAATGCTTCTGAGTTGTATCTCTGTTTACTCCCCTGCTTCTCAGTAAAGTGGCAAATGATGGAGTGTGGCATTTTGACATTATTTAGATCCATACGGGAAACAGAGGCCAACTGGAGAAACATGTTATCTCCCATTATCTGCAAATGAATTAGCCACTTATGGTTTTTTTCTTATATTCTCAAGTTAATCATTTATTTAGCGTTCTTTTAAGTTTACCAAAAGTGTGTTTATTGCTTTTAAGCCATAGTCTAACTAGAGTGATAAAAGAGTAAGCACAGAAATACTTCATTACTTTGCCAGTGTTTTAATGTAGCAACAACCAGTGGAGGCACCATTAAATGAGAAAGGAGTTATCAGCACAGGAACATATTATTAATTTGCTGCGCTTTAGCTGACTAATGAAGGATTTTAGCTGATTGATGACTATTAGCTGAAACAGATACCGAAAAGTGTTTCAACTCACAGTATTTCTCATGAAAACTGCAACTTGGCTTACAGTGACTCTGGAGTTGATCTGTTTTGTATGTTCAGCCTCTTAACAATAGAGGGAAAGTTATGGTTTTATTTACATCTCTCCCTGAGCAGATTTACACACACACACATATCCACCCTCCCCCTTAAGGGATCTGGGGATGTTTTACCTAAATGATTCTTACTTTCTGTAGGGTACAAACTGTGGCTTTGGTAATTGGTCTTGATTGTTGAGTTTAGAAGCCGGGAACATGGTAATTCTAGCCTCCAGTACTCTGTTCAAAAACATGCACTACCCAGTACAGCACTCTTTGTAGCATGTTAATTCACTTTAAGAAATGTTAAAAGTTTGAAGGATCTCATTGTTCTTTTACTCTTCAGTGTGTATGATTTATTTTGAGGGAGTATAAATCAAAACACATTCTTGAAACATTTAAAATCTCTTAAAGGTATTTTGTGTGTGTGTGTGTGCTTGTCCTGGCAGTATAGAATACTTTGTATACCAGAGCTAATGACAACAGATCTTTTAGGGTTTCTGTGTTGTAACAATCGCCACTGGGCAGACAGCTGCCAAACATCTTGCAATTAATCTGATCCATGTTGGCTTTCGTATCCTTTTTCTTTCAGAACAAATGCCCTGAGGTAGAGGAGTTGGTCTTCAGCCATTTTGTGATCTGTAATGACACACAGGAGACACTGCGGTTTGGCCAGGTGGATACTGATGAAAATATTCTGCTGGCGAGTCTCCACAGTCACCAGTACAGCTGGCGCTCTCACAAATCCCCACAGGTATTTGAGAAACACCCTTACAAACAGCCATTGTTAAGGTTGGGGATTCATTTCTTCTGCACTTGTGTGCTTGTCCAGTTATTTTCCTTTTTAAGTCTCCGAAGGAACCACACAGCGTAGCTACATCTGACGGAAACTCAAGAGTGTTTAGAGATGGGAGCACACGCTTCTCTTGGAATGGAGTGTTTTCCTGTTTAGCCCGGGTGCTTAGGGGGCAGCAGGGTGTGGTGATGAAGAGGCTGACTCGAGAGCCAGGTTTGGATCCTAGCTGTGTATAACTTTGCTCTACTTTCTGTTCTTCAGTTTTCTCATATGTATAATGGGGATAAAAGTAGTACCTATTTCAAAGGGTTATAAGGACTAAGTGAATTCATACATATAAGGCATTAATATGTAAGCATTATGTGTTGGGTATTATTATTCATTTGTTTCTTCAGATTTTTTTCTGTGTGTGTCCTTGGTAGCAGGCACATGCTAGGCACTGGGAATTCAAAAAAAGGTAAGTCACAGGCCTTGCCCTCTGAGGACAGCTCACAATCTGTGATACAATGACAATGAAAAACTACATCCAAGGCAGCACTGAGAAAAGACACACCAGAGGATGTCTGTTTTCCAAGTAGTGTAATTTCATTTTCCTGTCCCTTTAGATGGGAATAATTAGAGATATGTGCCCTGTAGCGATAATAGGAAGATGAATTAAATACAAAGATGTAGTCTTAAGTGAGCAAAATAAATCCTAGGAAGTACTCTCAAGAATAATGTATTTGTTAAACTGGATAATAAGGAAACTACTGCCTGCTTGTGATTAAAAGAAAGTCATTAGATTAGAGAACAAGTTTTCCCATCTGGTCTCTAGACCAGCATCAGACTACATTATACCCTTGGGCTCCAAATGAGGGTAGCTAGATGCTGATTTCTTACTTGTTTTTTCATCAGATTGCCACACTATTGGTATACAATTTGGAAAAGTAGATATAATGCAGTATTTCTTATTTTGTTCACATTAATCTGACAGGACACTGAAATACATGACTTTTTTTCATAAAAATTTTCTCACATGATATGGTATTACACTCATATTTTTAGGGTAAATCACATACCCTTGTTTTCTAATTTTCCTCTTGAGAAATGTCCATGTTAGAAGTATTTAAGTTGTTTCTCACTTGTAACATAAAGGATGCTTTATTTGTTTTAAATTCATCTATTTTTTATTTTTTGCCTTTGGATTACAAAAGTGAGAGCATACAGGTATACAGACAAAACCAAACAAAAACACCTATAATTCCAACCACCTAGAGAGAACTCATATTAACACTTGCTGTATAACCTGTTAGATCTTCTAAGTTTCCATTGCCATTGCATTCCCAGCAGTGAATTGTGAGGGACAGGAAAGAAGCCTCTGAGAAGCTACAGTAACATGTAATTGTACACTGTACTTGTAGCCACTTTACTGATGCACACACAGCAAGCGCCAGGCCTTAGCCGGTAGAAAGCAAAGCAGAGGAAGCTTAACTCTCCACAGTCATTTGAAGATGCATAGCTTGCATATCCCTCAGAGATCCTCAGGATTCCCTGGACACTGGAGCCAGGATGGGAAGGTGATCATAAGAGAACAACTGGCTCAGGAGTGTGGGGAGCAGTAGTGTTCATGTTACGGACATATAGTTTCTGGGTGGAGAGGAGGTCAGCAGGAAAGAATGAATAAACAACCACTGTCACCAGCACACTTTTCATTTTCATACTTGTTTGCACTATTTCAAAGGCCTTTTTGTATTTATTACAAGTTTTATTTTCACAGCATTCCTGTGTAGTATTATTTGTTATGCGTATTTTATAGATAAGGAGACAAATAGAAATGTTAAGTTAGGTAGTGGTAGAGTTAGGACTAAACTCCTTATCTTTTAATTATCAATACAGTGTCACTTCGACTTTGTCTCACTCCCCTAGGTTTTGGCAGCATGATTTGTCTGTTAGAATAGCCAGGCTGTGAAGTTTGAAAAGAAGGGCTGAGAAATCACTGGAATAGTAGGCCACAACTAAAGCTAAACTAATAGGGGATTCTTAGTCCAAGTATGAACTTTGCAAAGTCTTAACTGTGTTACCAAAAATAATAGGAGCTTTTTAATGACAAACTGTAAACATAAAACAGGTATCTAATAAACTTTGTTCTTTCTTTTAAATTTGTAACTGCATCTTGTGGATGCAACTTTTAAAATAAGCTGCAGTCATTATAATCTTAAGACTAAAACCTAGATGATATTTATAAAAAACAATGCCTTCTTACTATATTTCTATATGCTAATGTAAGTGTTTTAGGACCCTCTGAAGCCAGAAGCCTTAATGGGCCCAGGGGGTCTTCATGGAATTCCTTACATTCACAGTTGCAGATTCTGCTGTGTTCTAATGAGAGTCTATGTGAGGATCAGAAAAACTAACCACTCAGCTTCAAACTGCACCTGGAGCTTGTCATAGATGCACAATTGAGCAAAATATTCCTTTTTCCAGACTCCAAGTCATATCCTGCATCGCCCAGCAAGCTTCGTTTTAGGAACATTTGTGTCTGCATGTTTATGCTGCCTTGGGTGTTAGTCAATTCATAGTCTCAGGGAGGATTTCTAAAGTTCATGGAACTTAACTCCATTAAACAATGTAACTAACATTGCAGAGATCAACAAAGTGGCAGTGACACCTGGAAAGGTTTCAAAGAGGTCAAGATATCTTAAAACCACACAAGAGGTTGCTAACAACAGTTAAGTCCCAGTAGGATGAAAAGAAACACGGACACAACCAATTCTAGAAATCCAAAGCTGACAAACCTTTCAGAATTGAAAGTCATAAAATGCTCCTTATAGTTTCTAACACATACTCTGGGGCAGAATCACTTAACATTCTGGATATCTCACAACAATTTCTTGCCTAAACAAACAAAGGAAGAAGAAAACTATTTCCTAGGGAATAATTGAATATATTCAGCTGCACAGAATCATAGATGCCATCACAAAGGGCTCTTAAATATTCCAATTCAGTAGACTTTAGATCAGGTTGGATGAGAACAATAACCAGCAAGGGACTGCTCTTCAGAAAAGTATGTCACATTACGCTACATTGAATCTAGGGACTAGAGGTGTGAGTGTATAAATGTTTCCCCACAATATAGGCAGTATGTGCAGTTCATAGTCAAGGGAAGCTTTGTTTAATTTAGACAAACAAGCTATAGTGATATCAACTAGTAGGATCAACATAAAACCAACTAGTAGGATTTATGTAGAGGCTGTTTAACTTCCTTTTTTGGTTAATAGAGAGCACTGTTGGTTAAACTACTTGGAATAGTATTGCCTTTATCTTTTATGTAAGGATTTACACTTGCTTTTAACCTCAAACATGTACAATTTATGGATTATGCATTTTTTTCAGAATTGCAGAATTCTAGTTACCAATGACTTAATTGTGGTAATCAAACCATCAAGCAAGTGGAAATAGGCTCTAGACAGACCTATGGAAAATAATGTAACATTTATCCTAAATGAATATAACAGAAGTTTCATAAGCTCATGAAACAGTAAATATTTAAAACTGCAGGTCAGGAATAGTGGTTCATGCCTGTAATCCTAACACTTTGGGAGACTGAGGCAGGAGGATTACTTGAGGCCAGAACTTCTCAAGACCAGGCTGGGCAACATAACAAGACCCAATCTCTACAAAAAATTTAAAAATTATTGGGGTATGGTGGCACATATCTGTAGTCCTAACTACTTGGGAGGCTGAGGCAGGAAGGAGTATTACTTGAATCCAGGAGTTCAAGACCAGCCTAGGCAATATAATGAGACCCCATCTTAAATAACAAAGCAAAATGTAACAAGGTAAAATTAATTTCAATGAGCAGCAGAGCATCTTGGAAATATTCATTAAACAGAGTGACACATAGAGACAAAAATATAAATCCTATATTACTTTAAAGCAGAGGTGGCAAACTTTTCCTATAAAGGGCCAGATAGTAAATATTTTAAGCTTTCAGGATTTACAGTTTGTTGCAGCTACTCAACTCTGTGTAAAATCAGCCATAGGTGATATATAAATGAATGAGTGTGGCTATGTGCCAATGAAACTGTATTTATGGGCAATAACATTTAAATTTCATATAATTTTCAAACATCACAATTATTACTCTTTTGATTTTTTCCATCCATTTAAAAATGTAAAAACCATTCTCTGCTCATAGGCTATCCAAAAATAGGCTACATGCCAAATTTGACCTATAAGCCTAAGTTTGCCAACACTTGCTTTAAGATTTCTCAGTTGATCAAATTCAGTAGACTAAAGGTTTGATTTAAAATTGTTTTCACTCTGACCTCACTGGTATTCCTATCATTTGAAAGCTTGGTACAAAGTTCCAGAAACTGAGAAATGACAGATAATCGTTTAAATCTAACTTTTATGTAATTAACCTGTACTCACCAAATTACAGTAAAATATTTTTATTATACTCGTTCTGGTCCTAATCAGTGTATAACAGAAAGTTCTCCGGTTTTCTTTTTGTATGTAACAATATTTTAAAATGAGACCTGGTCATTTTTTCATTTGTCTAAAATGGAAAGCAACAGGTTTTGAGTATCTGTCTATCTTTTAGTAATTCCAGCCAGTTGTCAGTTTCATTAACGAGACTGTAATTCTTAGCTACTATGCTTTACAAATCCATTTGTATAATGCATGTATACATATATATTTAGAGAAAGAGCATATTTCTTGTTGCCACAGTAACCATTTAAAAACTTAAAAAGCAGACTTGGGGGACAAAGAAATACTCTGCGTTGCCAAAGCTGATAAATTTTTCAAGTGTTCTCCTATGTGTGCATGCGTGTTAAAGTTTGTTTAGAAAAGGCAAATGAATAGACACTATTACACACTGGAGTTGCTAATGGAATTGGTACTTAATTTCTAGAAAGCAGTTGGGTAAGAAACTTCAAAGCTATTAAAATTATCGTAGACTTTGACCCAGTAAG